ACATGAATAAATTACATTTTAAAATATATTCAAATACAAGACGGTTATTTAAATTTGTAATAATATTTCACAATATTAATGTTGTTTTTTTTTTGATCAAATAAATTCAGCTTTAGTGTGCATAGGCATACGTGTATATAATATTTTTTGTTTGTTTTTCTTAATACAGGCTCATGGACTATTGTGGATGGATCTCATATTCCAGCTTCATTCAGTGGCTTGACTGCTGGTAATTTATTCAGAATTCATTAAATTAATGCATAACTAAACTAGATTTGTTCATATTCAGCCAGGGACTGTTTCTCTGTACCACTTACACTATGATCTATCACATCTCAGTGTAAACACTAGATCCATGAAGATAAAGCATGTAGTCCTCTGTGTTTGCAGTGCCTGACCTGATTTGGAGTGCTCAGCCTCCTGTGCCACTGGATGACGAGTGGTCTGGAATAAGTAAGAAAATCTATACTTGCCCAAAACCTGTTCTGACTCACAAATTTAGAGTCACAGACTTACTAAGAGTTGCTGTTGTGTTCCTAAGACAGCACATCTGCAGATCTATCGTGTGACTGGAACGCTCCGTCAGAGGAGTGGGGGAACTATGTTGAGCAACAGCCTGTGAGCGCAGCGCCGCTGGAGCCGTCGGTCCCAGAAGTGGCACAGGTCAGTCCGTCATGCAGCTGTGGGCTTGTGAAAATGCTCTCATTTTTACCTCGCTGAATTAATGAGAGCAAATCGAAATCAGGTTCTGACCTGGGTTGAGAATCCAGGATGTGTTTCGGTTAAGAAGAAATATTGATTGATTAGAGAAAGATTAGGCGATGCAAATAATAAAGCAAGTAGTAAAATGACAACAGAATTTTCCTAAACTGGGGTTTGAGAGTTGAGGGAAATAATAAAAATATTAAAATTTAAATAATTTTAAAATAAAACAAAACGCTTCAAAAAAAAAAAAGAAATGAAATATTTTGTTTACCTGCATGTCATGTGACCATTAACTGACATCAGAGGACTGTGAATATGTGAAACATTGAAATATTAAAGGGATAGTCCACCCAAAAATGGAAATTGTGATCTTTAACATGTAAGTCTCCATGGCTTTTTTTCTGTCGAACACAAAGGTAGCCATTGACTTCAAAAGTGCTTTTTTCCATACTATGGAAGTCAATGGCTACAGTCAACTGTTTGGTTACCAGAATTCTTCAAACAATCGTCTTTTTGTGTTCAGCAGCTGAAATGAATTGATATAGGTTTGAAACACATCGAGGGTGAATAAATGATGACAATTTTAATTTTGAGGTGAACTATTCTTTTAGTTCCTTTGACCAAGTAGTCGAGCCAAAAATGAAAACCGCTGATATTTCATTTATTTCCATTCTACAGGAGTCCGATAACGAGAAAGATAAAGACGAAGCAGTCGCCCCTGGCAGCGGTAAAGCTAAGAAGAAGAAAAAGAAGAAGAAGAAGATGGAGGATGCTGGACCTTCTGCTCAGGTGAGGATATTACCAGAAGTCATTTCCAAATAACTGATCTGTTACTTCAAACCTAACGCAGAATACATGCATCATATTCAGCCGCAGGTGAAAGCTGAGAGACACACGAGCGTTGTTGCAACACCGGCACAGAGCGCAGCGGGAAACGTCTCAGCTGCCACAGCAGGGGTGAGAGATGTTTTTCAACATTCATTGGCTATTAGCAATAAAACAAGGTCCTAGATTTGTGTCGACTTCTCAACAGCCACGTGTAGACGACACTGCACGTGCCGTACCATCAGCTCCAGTGCAGACGCAACGGAGAATGACTGGACCTGAGCCGACTGACAGATCCACTCCTGTACCAACACAAAGTACGTTCAACCACCATATAGACTTTAAGTTGGAAGATCATTCATTTCATTGGGTTTCTGCAGGTTATAAAAAATCTTATATTGCCCTTACACAAATTAAGGCATTTAAAAGGTCTTAAATCAGATTAGAAAATCGTAAATACATAAAGGCACCATGGCATTAAATAATGCATGCATTGTTCTTAAATCTTAAATACATAAAGGCACCATGGCATTAAATGTTGCATGCATTGTTAAAATGAATATCATCATCTGAGTTTTTGGCTTGTTTTCCTGTACAAATATCTACAAACATCCCTAAATCAAGATACATTTCAAATGAAGATATGAAGTCTTGTTTTAATCATAAACTCACTTCATTATAATAAATTTCTCAGAAAATGACGACTTCTCGTGCCATTTTGTATCTCAAGTAAATGTATCTTGATTTATGAATCTTAAGACATTTGTACTGGAAAACAAGACAAAAATCGTAATAAAGAATGTGATTAGTTGGTACAGTAAAAGTTATTTCCTTTAAAAGTCTTATATTTACCTTCATAAAACCTGTAGAAGCTGATTTCAGGTCTTTATTTTTTTTTTCTCCACCAGAAAAAGCAGATGACAGCAGGGAGTCTCTGAAACAACCAGTCAAAAAGAAGAAAGCTAGAAGAGAGACATGAAGATACAGAAGTGATGAGACAACATATGCAATCTTGGGGTTGTACAGAATTTCATACTTCCTGAGTGACTTGTTTTTTGATACCTTTGAATCCACCGTGTTGTGAATCCCATATAGTGTCTACATCCCATTAGGTATATCTAGACAAAGTACTGTAATGTTACACGTCATATGAAGGGACACTTCATTTGTTTTTTTTTATGTATGTTAATTGCTAAGTACAGTCAATTTGATATGATTTATATTTGCAGCAAAATAATTTTTGTAAGAAGATCCTGGCGATCATTGCAAAGCACTGGGGACGTATCAAGAACACTTAAGATACACGCACAGGATCCACCGGGAACCTATAGATCATTAAGCTGTTACATGAGAGCGTTGTCTCATCCTTAATTTATGAAACACTGAGGCAGATTAGAGTGCACTAACTTAGCCGGTTTGTAGGAGGAAAAAGCAACAAATCAAGCCATATGTGAAAACCGTAACGAACTCTGAGAGACTTGTTGCTGGTGAGCATGAGTAGATGACGCTATTATCAGACAAACAACTTATTAACCGTTCGCTCTGGTGAAGTAGTAGTGACGTCGGCCGGGTTTTTGTGATCAATGTTACACCAGGTACAGCAGTGTCAGGAAAATTTCAATGCCTTAACTTGTGTTGTGCAAGATGACAGCAACGATCTGTCAGCTGCATGCCGTTTCCTCTTTCGTATTTATTGGTTAATCTAAGTCATGTTTAATGAGTAATAAAGATTAAAGAGTTTCTTTGCACACCTGTGTCTGATTATTCTGACAACTGTTTTTATTTATTTGGCACAAACGATTTTTAATTATACAACTTTTTTTAAAGAGACAAATCCACCCAAAAATGAAAATTCTGTCATTTACTCACCCTCATGCTGTTCCAGAGAAAAGAAAGAAAATATTTTGAAAATATATATTTGTGGGAGTCATGTCCATGAAATGAAAGTCAATGGGGCCCAAAGACTGTCTTGTGTATTTTAAAATGTAGGTAACACTTTAGATAAGGTCTCATTTCTTGATATTAGCATTAAAGGAATAGTTTACCTAAAAATGTTTAAAGTTTACTCACCCTCAGGCCATCAAAGATGAGTTTGTTTCTTCATCAGAAGAGATTTGGAGAAATTTCGCAAAGTCCTCCCCATGTTGTTTAGAAATGTTTTGGACTGTCCCTAGTCCTTTGAAGTAGTTGCTCCCAAGTTGTGGAATGCTCTTCCTCTGAAACGGAGATCTGTGGACATTTTTAAAAAGCAGCTGAAAACTCACTTGTTCAAACTTGCTTTTGTCCAATTTGCATTTTTTTTTATATTGTCATGTCTTTTTATTCTTCATTTTACAATTTTGTTGTAAAGCACTTTGTGACACTTGCTCTTGAAAGGTGCTATAGAAATAAATATTACTTACTTGCTCACTTCAGTTGTAAACTGTGCGCAGTCTGTGCATTTTTCTCTCCTGATTCAGACCAGACATCTTTTTCACTGGAGAAAGCAATATTATGGATTATACACTCATATTTCAGACATGCAATGGATTGAAGGTAAAAATGTCTTATTGGATTTGATTCTTACAAAAGCACATTAACTGTGGACATCGTGTGGTTTCATGATGATTATTGTGATGTTTTTATCAGCTGTTTGAACTCTCATTCTGACGGCACCCATTCACTGCAGAGAAACCATTGGTGAGCAAGTGACGTAATGCTAAATTTCTCCAAATCTCTTCTGATGACCAAAAACTTCTCTACATCTTGGATGACCTGAGGATGAGAAAATTTTCAGCAAATTGTAATTTTTGGTTCAATTATTCCTTTAAGATGGATAAATATTGTTAGTTCTTGTTGACTGTTAAATGATTTCACCTTACGATAAGGTTTATAGAGGTCAACCGATATAGGTTTTCTAATTGCCGATGTGATATCTCAAAAGCAAAGTAACCAACTGTCTGTCATAAAAAAAAAAAATCAACGAGGTCCTATAAAATAAGACATCCACAAATCTCTAAAAAACACACCAGTCACAAAACACACAAGACATGTAGTACATTAACATTTCTTTTATTAAATCATCATAAGGCTGCTGAGTAGTGTGCAGACTTATTAAAGAGAAACAAATGCCCTGTGTTCAGAGCACTGCCCACTGAAGAACTCCAGATACGCCCGATAAGGCACATTTAGAAACATCGGATCGATCACCCCACCTGAGTAGTGTGCAGCCTGTCATCTGTACATATCAAACAATATCATTCATGGCTGAACAACAGAGTTTTCTAAGTACCTTCTATGATGGTGATGTGAATAGTTATCAAATATAAATTCTCAAAGTGAAGAATAAAGATCTCGAGTCACCCCTTACATCCCAAAATATCTCAAATCAAAAGTGTTTACTCAATACACTCAGTTGATATTCAATGTGAGCCAACAGACTTTTGTAATGGACAGATTTAATTTACCTGACCATTAACGGACCACCTTAACCTTTCATAATTCAGAAAAAAGACTACTACTGTTAAGGAAAAAGAAAAAAAAGAAAGAAAATAAAACATGCTAGTTAAAAAAAATCATGAATTTTTTGGTATCTCTGCCTCAATGACATCCGATGACTTCCTTCAATGACCCAACACCATTTTTTTAAATGACCCATCACAAGCTCCCAACAGCATACAAACTAGTAAAGAGGGGAGCGACACCTCCACCTTTCACATTCACACAGAGAACAGCAGCATTCGAAAAACAACGTATGCTCTATTTCTCTTAGTATAACAAATGTGTATCCACACACGCACAGATCCATCTGAAGCATTCGTGTATCTGCTGACTGGACTGTCAGAGAGTCTGTTTCACCAAGGGACTGAACTATGTAGAAGACGTTTAGAGGTTAGACAGGAACCAGGCATGGCAAACATAAGGTTAACATTACCCAGTTGAGGCCATGATTTTTAAATATGAAATGTTTGAAACATACAAAAACAATTTATTTTGTCATCTGTGTCAGTCAGAGGTGTAAGTTTAAATGTTTGAGAATTTACCTTTTTTTTTTTTTTTCAGACTGTACCAATAATGGGTCTCATTTATGAACAGCAAGCAAAACGACCAATGTGTAAATTGTTCGTAACCATTCCAATGTAAATGGTTGCATTGAATGGAACTGTTTTATGATTATTAGCACACACAATTATACGTAAATGCATGCAAGAATGATTTTAAATATTAACGCATTTGACTGAATGCAACAATTTATTGTTTATGAACCGTAGCGCATTAATTTAATGCAGCAATTTAGAATGATTTCGATTCATTACAGCAATATATGCAAGAATGTTTTTACAAATATTAGCACATTCAACTGAAAGCAACAACTTGCATAAAAATGTTTATGGATGTTAGCGCATTCAATGCAATAATGGTTTGTGAGCATTAGCGCATTTAATTTAATGCAGCACCTTACACAAGAATGGTTTACGATTGATAGCGCATTTGATTCATTACTTCCAATTTACACAAGAACGAATTTACAAATATTAGAGCATTCAATTTAAATTTAACAATTTATCTAAAAATGGTTTTATGAACCTTAACGCAATCCACTGCAACAATTTTATCTAAAAATGGTTTTACGAATGTTAGCATTTAATTTAACCATGCAACAATTTACATAAGAATGGTTTTACAAACGTTAGCGCATTTGATTCAAATCAAATATGTAAAAATGGTTTTACGAAAGTTAGCATTTTTGAATCAATGGGACAATTTACTTAAAAATGGTTTTACGAACAATTTACGCTTGTGTTTTTATGAGGCTGAAGGTCTTTAAAAAAGGTTTCCGTTAACAAGGTAAGTGCATTTTTAGGCAATCTCTTTGAATAAACAAATGTTGGACTCAAAATGGGAATATGGAACAAAAACTTCTCACAAAGTCAACCAAATGGACACAACACGATGCGCTGTTCACTGACGTGACATTCTCTCACCAAAAGGAGATGTAGCTACATTCAACAAGCCTATTTGTTAATCCAAAGCAAACCGCACATAACCAGCCAATCATAAAAAAATTAACAAAAATCATACAGATAAAATACAATGTGTTGAGTAATTCATGAAAATGTGAGGCAGCACGTTGATTATAAAAGCCAACGTTATTACTAAGACAACCAAAGGCAATTACGACAATTCGGGAATAAAAAAAAAACAACCTGAAAAAAGGAGAACATCTGTATATGTAAAGTGGTTATTACTACCAAAGTGGCCAGTTCTGACTGAAATACTCGAAATGGAAGATATATAAAATATCAATCCACCTGCCTGTATAACAATACAGTACATACAGTACATCAAAAGTACTAATTTACCGAACAGGAAATGCACCAGACTCACAGAGTTGTGCAGCAAACAATGTTGCTTATGTAGTACATCGTTTCCATCACGTGGCAGAAAACAAATTTTACCCCTCCCTAAGACTCGGCCTCATCCAGTGCAACACATCAAACACAGGCAGCCTAAGCTATGCTTCAGTCATCATGAAACAAATGTAAGGAGAGAGTGCAGCTTGATTCTAAGGCAACATAGGTTTTTAAATGGTGCCCATGGGCACAGAGGATAGATGAAAAGTCTGTCTGTCAGGAAGCACATCCTTCCAGCAGAGTGGCCCGTCACAGAGTCTGCAAAGCGGTCAGTGTGTGGACCAGTTGATGAAGTTTCTGCAGCATCCTGACTGATAAAGTGAACCAGTGAGCACAGGATCAGAATGTCAAACTTTGGAGAAAAAGATAGGGAGAAAGGACAGAGAATCATGGGACCACTAGATGGCACCGCTGTTACAGAGGAAACAGAAGGTGTGGGGTGCAGTAAAGGCATGATGTCCCTTGAATTCACTGGCCATGTGCATGTGGGTGAAGTGGTCTGCAGGCAGTACGGCATTGACGTTAAGACTTGTGCCTCTGGGATCCACAAGAATGCTGGGAGTCAACTATGAAGCAGGCTTTTTTTTGGTCGGGTGCAGGCCTGCCTCGGTGCCAATGTTGACCGTGATGTTGGTGTAAAGCAGCTGGTAATCCCGGGATACGATCTCATACTCCACCGTATTCATGCCATCTTCTTTCCACGTATGCCGGGTCTTAGCCAACATGTTAAACCTGGATGAGAGGAAACAGCTTGAACGGAGGAAGTACTAGGAGATGATGTCATCATATTAAAGAAAAAATGTCATTTAATATTTAAGGAAATTGGGAATTTCTCATTAGGACAAAAGGTTTCCAAATGCAGATTTTGCAACAGAAAGCTGCTTGGTTTGAAAGTGATTTATCAGATGGTCGTAAGGCAATTGTACCTTTTGGGATTCACTTCGTTGCCTTTGTCATGCCTGTGTTTGATCATCTTATATCGGCCCACTTTTAGAGACGGACGACTGATCAGCATTCCTCCGAGTGAGACCCTGAGAAGATGAAGAAAGTTAGACAGTGTGGCAAAAAAAAGAGGACGGAGACACTCAGGATAGGAAATTTGAGAAACTGGTTCCAATTCAATTCATGAGTGTGAATTTATTTCTATTAGACGCACCTTACAGGAAGCTGCATTGCAATTTGAATCAGAATTGCAGGAGGAGGAATTTACTGAATTTTTATACAACGAAGTTTAACACGTGCATTCTGGGAAATGGGGCGTTCTTTCACTCTGCTCCACAAAAGTTCACAACGGTGTTTCTTTAGCAGCAAATCAGAATGATTTCTGAAGGATCATGTGACACTGAAGACTTAAGTAATGATTCAGAAAATTCAGCTTTGCTATCATAGAATAAATTAAATTTGACATTTTACTGAAAGAGAAAACAGTCATTTAAATTGAAATAATGTTTTACTGTGGTTTTGATAAACAGTTTAGATGAGCAATAAAGACTTCAAAAATATATATAAAAAAGATTCTTGCAGATATATACACTTTCAAAGTGTATATCAGCTAAATTCAAATTTTATTAGTGGCATTTAAATCATCTACAAATTCAAAGCTTTTTAAACTTTGTCATCATTTTAAGTCTGTTTTGACAAGCTTTGCTTTCCAAGTTAAATATACATTAACTAAAATTTCTATGGATTTCAATTAATTTTATTTGGACAGAATAACTATATATTACATTTCATATATTTGATCCTTTGCATGTGGCCGAGCTTGTGAGCATGACTCGACTACACAATCCACCTCTATAAAGCAGAGGGTAACACACTGTCAGATGTGGACACTCTAGCTTTGAACTAGAGAAGCTGGAAAAGACAGGTGGTTCATGGCCAGCTGCGTCACAAAGACAGATCTCCTTCCACACAGACCCCTCCATTAATACACACACACAAATCATCTATGCATACACTCAATCCCTCCAAAGCAAATATAAACCAAGATGCCCCGTGCTCACTCACCGGACACCGATGTCATCGTCCTCACCACCCCAGCCCCAGTAATTGTTTGGGAAACCGTTCATCTTGAGGTACTGAACAGGGGTCAGAGCCGACACTCCTCCAAAATACATCTTATAAGGCAACCTGAGTGACAACAACAATATAAAACGTCAAGCTTTTAGTCACTTCATATACATATTGGTTTTTGTTTTATGAGCGTTTATTCAACTATAAGCATTTAATTGTTACATGAGTTTGTTTTTATTACAGATTTCACCTTTTTGTTGTTTAAAAATTACAAAAAAAAAATCTTTCTTGGAAGCTTCTTATGCCATCATTCATTTTTGCTATTAATCCATTAAAATACTATTGAATTTTTAGTGTACACAAAATGTAGCTTACAAATCATTTTTTTCCACAAATGTTTATTTATTCCACAAATACATAGATTGTAAATTGATCTGACAGTAAATCATGTATATTTGCATAATCTGTGTGCAGGTGTGAAATGCAGGCATGAAGTCAAATGAAATGCAGCTAGAGAGCGTGAAGAACACTGACTTGTAGCCAAATTTGTCCATGGCAATGGCAGCGTGCTTGGGATGAGTGTCGCAGACATAGGTGTTGCGGTCGTCCTCTGGAATGAGGTCCACGTCATGAAAGAAGAGGCAGTCCCAGTCCTCGTCCCTCATGGCTTCACGAAATCCCACGTTCATCAGCTTTGCTCGGTTAAAGGTGTAATTACCAGCCTTCACACACAGACCGCTATTGTTATTGAACAATTCATAATAGTAAGAACTGAGCGCACAGATTTAAGCTATTATTTAGTGTCTGTAAAAAAACAAATGAGTCCATATAAATCCAGTTACACAAATACTGATAAAACAAAGCATGCAAACTCAGCCGTGCAGCCTGTATATACATTTATACTCATAAAAATGGGCTGAATCTATAATGTTCAGGATTTTCAGAGAGCAGATTAATAAGGATTACAGTCTAATCCTTGGCCTGTTGACGTGAAGTGGGAATATCAAAGTCAGGAACATAAGCAAGAAGATGATTTTCTATTCATGGTAATCCATCGTTTAGAACAGCATTTGTGTGAAAAATTGTTAAAAATGCAAAACTTCACTTTCACTGCTAATTGTAGTTTTTGTTAATATTTAGATTTTTTTCTTTTGATATTTGATATTTTAATTGTAATTTTACTTAGTTTTAGTAATTTAGTTGTTTTTATTATTTTTTGTTCGTTTTTTAATAATTTTTTTTTCAGTTTTTGCTTTAGTTATTTTAGTAAATAAAGTTAAACTAAATGAAAATAAAAAACATTTTATGATTTGTTTTACACAGTCTAGTTAACTTTACTTTTGATCAGTTTAATGAATCCTTGCTGAATAATAGTATAATCATGTATAATCATTTTTATTGAATAATTACAACAGCATAAAAAATATAACCAAATAAAAGTAGGATCTCACGGAGTTTAACAATTCAGCAAAACTAATCGGAGCAAAAACAATGCAACTCAAAACTCTGCAGAAATATCATGCCGTACATCTATAATCCTACATAAAACTGTATTGACACAGGAAACCAACAATAATAAAAACCAGACAATATAGCCCAGGAAAACAGGTCTGAATCTGGCACACTGTTGTATTAGGATCATTTTTTTTCACTAAAATGAGAGATCAGCTGGAGGGGAGAGCAAATGATGACCAGCGATTGACCTGTCAGAGCGAGTTGTACAGGTTTGCATCTAGATCGACAGCTATAACAGGATAAAGAGATTACAACTGGCTCTGACAGGAAACAGCAGGAGGCACAGTTGAGTTGTACTATAACAGAGCTGCATATTTAATATGTAACCAAGCAACAAATACATCTTTGTACAATGTGAAACTGTGACAGCACGGTCTAAAATTAACACTCACAAGGTGCCAACTGAGAATAAAACTTGCTTTGGCAACCAAATAATATAGACATAATGTATGGATTAATCTAGGGTTTAATGTAAGAATGATAAGTCTGACCTTTATTGACACGAGTGAATCAAATGACAAAAATACAAACCTTCGACGAAAAACGTTATTTACCATTTTTCTTGGAAAATGTACCAATTGCAGCTTAACTAGAAAGTTTTTTTTTTATTATTTCATTGTCATCTCTACTATAGGTGGCAATATTATTATGAAGAACAAACTTTTCAACATTTGCTGTCATTTCACTGAGAGACTGTCTATTGGGAGTCAAAATACAATTCCTTGACCAGCGAGAAATATTTATAAACTGCACATATTTTTCAGAAAAAGATTTCAAGTGATTTCTGAATCACCAAATTAAATCACAACAATAACAGGCTGCAGACGCACCTGGTGAATGACATAGATGCCATAGTTGAGCTGCTGACGCTGTAGGAAGGGATGCAGATAGTAGAGGAGGAACTTGAGGTGGTGTTCCCTATTTCTGTGGGGAATGATAATTGCAGTGCGATGGCGAGCCTCACAGTTTGGCGGCCTATAGCGCCCTCCACGGACAACAAGTGGATTCTTCCTCTCCACCTCGGCAAGCGTAAGCCCAGAGGGGAAAGTGACATGAATTGGTCCACCTGAATATAAGAAAAGAGTGTGAACAGGAATATTTGCTGGATGAGGTTGAAGCATTTGACTTTGATTTAAAAAGGTCTAAAAACGCTCAAAGGAGGAAACAGTATAGGTGATTCACACTTATATTTATTTTGAACCAAAGGCTAACAAACTGCAAAGTGGTTTTACTAGTTTGACATGTAGAACATGGAAAACTGCTGGCATGACTGGACTGTATATTATTATGGTTTATAGAAGAAAGTATTTATAGTCTCTCATTTCGGTATAAAATCAAATTTCAGTATCTTCCTAATACAGTAATGGTTATATTGTACTGAAAAACCTAGATTTATATATATATATACAAATTACACACACTTATATAAATATATATAAGTGTGTGTATGTAAATATATACATACACACACTGCTTTTTTCCTTTGCTTTCATTTAAAAAAAAACCTTAAAAGAAAAAACTCCCAGGTACTGTTTGTAATGGCTAACATACTGATATAATATTCCCAATAGTGAGAGAGATCAGAGATTTGATAACACACTTCTGAGCGAGATATCAAACTCACCAATCAAAGGAGACTGCTTGGGGCAGTAGGGCATGTCCTCTTTATTAAGAGCAGGGCCCAAAAGGGAGAGGTTGGCATAAACATCCGTGTGGTTGCGACCACCGATTGTGTGTCCCGACGTAGAATCCGTTTTACGGAAAATCCGGAAAAAATATGACACTCTTTTCTGGTAGCCCTCTCTAGAGAGAAGAGCCATGACCACTAACTGGACGCCCAAGAACATGATTAGGTAGCGCCATTTGGACTGCAGCGTGTACATGGTGACGGAGCTGTTCAGTGGAAGCAGTGTACTACGTTTGAGAGTCAGATGAACAGTCTTGGTGTGTTTAGGTTGGATAAGTTTGAGGTACTGGACTCTACGATGGTCTCATTCCTCTTATCTCAGATACTTTAAAGTTTTACTTGCATGCAAAGAGAAGAAACAAATGAAACAGATATGGAAGGCTGGATATGTAAACAAATCAATTGTTTCAAGGATTGGCAGATGGATCAGATATGTGGAGGAGATGTAAAAAGTTTGATGAAACACAAGGCACTTCAGATATGATGGATGAAAAGGCTAAGGAGAGGTATCATTTATTCTAACAGACGTTCAAGACTGCTGCATGTTGAATTAGATTTGCTTTGCTCACTGGCAGTCTTTCAGCCTATTAATATGCAACTCCAAATGGAAACTCCCAGTGGTCCTCTGGTGTTTTCATGATTCAATGGTCTACTGAGCTTCCATCAAGCTCCACCAAAGCCGTGGGATTTGGAAGGATGTGTCCACTGGCTGAAAGGAAACCGGTTTTATTCCCAGAAGGTTCTCAACAGCAATGGTCCTTTAAAAGTCTCATGGTCACTACAAAGTAAAGAGTGGGAGCCACAACCCAGATTTGACATGCTATCCATGACGATCCATTTTAATTATTTATAGGGTTCACATATCTTTTGATCACTGAATTTTTCAGCACATTTCCAGTATTTTTTGTGATTGAGGGGAAGAACCCAGGAACCTGGAAGTCACAAAATAAAAAAATATATATAAATAAATAAATCGAACAGTCTCAGTGAGTTAAGGTTGGATAAGTGTGAGGAACTGAACTCTACGGTGGTCTCATTCCTAGTATCTTAGATACTTCAAACTTTTACTTGCATGTAAACAGGAGAAAGTAATGAAACAGATATGTCTTGGAAAGCTATAAGGCCTGGAAATGTAAACAAACAAATCGTTTCAAGAATTGGCAGATGGATCAGATATGTGGAGGAGATGTAAAAAGTTTGATGAAACACAAGGCACTTCAGATATGATGGATGAAAAGGCTAAGGAGAGGTATCATTTATTCTAACAGACGTTCAAGACTGCTGCATGTTGAATTAGATTTGCTTTGCTCACTGGCAGTCTTTCAGCCTATTAATATGCAACTCCAAATGGAAACTCCCAGTGGTCCTCTGGTGTTTTCATGATTCAATGGTCTACTGAGCTTCCATCAAGCTCCACCAAAGCCGTGGGATTTGGAAGGATGTGTCCACTGGCTGAAAGGAAACCGGTTTTATTCCCAGAAGGTTCTCAACAGCAATGGTCCTTTAAAAGTCTCATGGTCACTACAAAGTAAAGAGTGGGAGCCACAGAAGTCCAAGGTATTGTTTTGTAGTGTGTTGGTGTGAGATAGTGAGTATTGATATGCTTCTTGGATATGTAGGAGGGGAAAACAAAGAGGAGGGGGGAGGGATGATATCCAACACCCCCAGCTATTGTATCATTCTGTCCTCGTGCAGGGGGAGGGTCCAACACCCCGTCCAACGCCAGCTGGTCCAATGACAGGAGTCAGTGTCTGAAAACAAAGGAGGAGATGTGAGGAGTGACCCAGAACAGAGGCTTTGCAATATGTTAAGTTTGTTTATTTCCTTCCGTACTCCATACCAATTCACTCAGTTTACAAAGAAAAAATAAATAAATAAATAAATACAAATAATACTGTGTGTAGATTTA